GGATACATAAGATATTATTATATATATTTGACATAACAGTCATGATTCATTTTTAATTCCGTTTGATAAAAAAATCTATCTATCATCTATCTATCTATTTATCTATCCCAGTATCTATCTAAATATTTTCATCTATCAATTTTCGAATCTATCTATCTATCTATCTATCTATCTATCTATCTATTCAAGATCTGTTCATATTGATTCACCTTTCAAGAAACATCTATCTATTTTCATTTTTTAAAATTCTCTAGTTATATTCATATCTATCCATCTATATCTATCTATCTGTCTATCTATCTAAATCTATTTTTATCTATTTATCCATCTCTCCATCCATCTATCTATCTATCTATCGCATTTCTATTTCACATTTCTATCTATCTATTCATCTATCTATATCTATCTATCTATTTAAACATTATCTATCTCTATCTATCTATCTATTCATCTATCTATTCATTTATCAGTATGTCTATCTATCTATCAAATAAATATATATATATTCATATATCCCCATCTATCTATAAATTGCGTCATAAAACATGCCTGTCCGCATCTATCTGTAATCCATCTAGCTATGTCTTCTTGTTAATTATGTAAAAGTTTTGTTCTTAATGTTTTTTTCGTAATTTTTAATTGGTATTAGCAACCAATATATATATATATATATATATATATATATATATATATATAAAATATGAACTTTTTTTATCTGCCTGACAAAAAACAATAGTTTTGTTGGTTGACATTTTTATTATCTTAACTAATTGTAAATAATATATTTATTTATAAATAAATTCAGCAGAAACATATTTTTATTAATTCTAGATGCCATTTGCATCAATAAATTCTTTTTTTCGAAAAACCTTTGCAAATATCGTAGTAAATTTTTTTCTGGTTTTACTGATGAATTTTAATTCTAATTCATTTTTGAATATGCTCATGGCGGGTTATGTAGAATTTAAAATTGTAAAAGAGAATAGCAATTTTAAATATGAATTTGGTCGTTTTTTTACGAAACTTTACAAATTTAAATGAATTGAAATTGATAACTTTTTCCATTTGTATTCTTTTTGACATCATACCATTGAAAACTATCCTCATTGTTCACTAAAATAATAATAATTCTAATAATAATAATTTTGAATAATAAATAATAAAAAAAATAAAAAAAATCTTTATATTTCTGAGATGAGGTAAAAATGCATATTTTGCATTATTTACATTATTCAACTGTTATCCTCATTTCATTTCCATATTCACAACAATTTTCGGTTTTCTGTTGTAATTTCCGGCCTTTATGTCTATGTCTCTCTATATATCTGTCTATATCTCTGAGATGAGGTATTATGATAACTTGCATTATTTACATTATTCGGACTGTTATCCTCATCTTCATTGCCATATTCAATAACGTTTCGGCCGTTGGGACGCTTCAGCCTTTATGTCTAAGGTCTCTATATATCTGTCTATATCTCTGAGATGAATATATTATGATTAATTGCATTATTTACATTATTCGGACTGTTATCCTCATCTTCATTGCCATATTCACAACGTTTCGGCCGTTGTACGCTTCAAAGGCCTTTATGTCTATGTCTCTTGCTATATATCTGTCTATATCTCTGAGATGAGGTATTATGATTACTTGCATTATTTACATTATTCGGACTGTTATCCTCATCTTCATTGCCATATTCACAACGTTTCGACCAAAAACGCTTTTTTTTATGTCTATGTCTCTATATATCTGTCTATATCTCTGAGATGAGGTATTATGATAACTTAGCATTATTTACATTATTCAGACTGTTATCCTCATCTTCATTGCCATATTCACAAAAAAACATTTCGTTGTACGCTTCATATTTGAGAAATGTCTATGTCTCTATATATCTGTCTATATCTCTTAGATGAATTATTATGATTACTTGCATTATTTAAATTATTCGGACTGTTATCCTCATCTTCATTGCCATATTCACAACGTTTCGGCCGTTGTATGATTGAAATAACATGTCTATGTCTCTCTATATATCTGTCTATATCTCTGAGATGATAGTATTATGATTACTTGGAATTATTTCCATTATTCGGACTGTTATCTTATTGATTGCCCTATTCATGACTTCGGATTGTACGCTAAAAAAGTTTTTTTCTATGTTATAATATTGTCTATATCAAAAAGATGATTTTCGATATGATACAGGCATTATTTTATATTATCTATATTATCCTCATTAAATTAAAATATATATGTTGTTATATCTATTATAGATGAGATATTATCTGTCTATATCTTATGAGATGATTTATGATTAGGCATTATTGCATTATTCGGAAGTGTTATCCTCATCTTCATTGCCATATTCACAACGTTTCGGCCGTTGTACTCTCATCCCTTTATGTCTATGTCTTTATATATATCTGTCTATATCTCTGAGATGAAAATATTATGATTACTTGCATTATTTCCATTATTCGAACTGTTATCCTCATCTTCAATGCCATATTCACAACGTTTCGGCCGTTGTACGCTCCGGCCTTTATGTCTATGTCTTTATATATCTGTCTATATCTCTGAGATGAGGTATTATGATTACTTATATATTTACATTATTCGGAAATGTTATATCATCTTCATTGCGTCATATTCATGGAACGTTTTCGGCCGTTGTACGCTCCGGCCTTTATTTCTATTGTATATATATATCTGTCTATATCTCTGAGATGAGGTATATGATTATATATTTATATTATTCGGACTGTTATCCTCATCTTCATTTTCCAACATTCATAACATTTCGTATATTTCCTGAATATAATCATATATATCTATATATGTATTCATGAAAACATTATTTTGTTACATTATTTACTTAAACTGTTATCCTCATAAAATTTTAGTCAAAAAATCAACAACGTTTAAATTTTGTAATTTACCTCCATATTCTCTATATAGTGTTTCTAAATCTCTTTAACATGAGATTATTATGAAATTATTTCATAATTATTCGGACTGTTATCCTCATCTTCATTGCCATATTCTTTATCCTTTGGCCGTTGTATACAATCCGGCCTTTATGTCTATGTCTCTATATATCTGTCTATATCTCTGTGATGAGGTATTATGATTACTTGGTTATTTACATTATTCGAACTGTTATCCTCATCTTCATTGCCATATTCACAACGTTTCGGCCGTTGTACGCTCCGGCCTTTATGTCAATGTCTCTCTATATATCTGTCTATATCTCTGAGATGAAATATTATGATTATTGATTATTTACATTATTCAGACTGTTATCCTCATCTTCATTGCCATATTCACAACGTTTTGGCCGTTGTACGCTCCGGCCTTTATGTCTATGTCTCTCTATATCTGTCTATATCTCTCAGATGAGCTATTATGATTACTTGCATTATTTACATTATTCGGACTATTATCCTCATCTTCATTGCCATATTCAAACGTTTCGGCCGTTGTACACTCCGGCCTTTATGTCTATGTCTCTCTATATATCTGTCTATATCTCTGAGATGAGGTATTATGATTACTAGCATTATTTACATTATTCCGACTGTTATCCTTATATTCATTGATTATCAGTCAAGGGATGGTGGAAGGTATTTGTCTTAAAGGGAAGAAATATTATCAAACTAAACCCGAATATTAACCTTATGACATTAATTTGGTGTTATATGAAGAATGAAATGTTAATTTGAAATTAAAACAGGGATAAAAAAGGATTTAAAGAAAAACTTTAAAATATATAGATAAAATCGAGAGATTACTAATATAGATTGCCAAGAAATAGTTTGTTGCATGGATGCATTTATTTTCTATTAACAGTTAATATATTTCAACCTTGAAAATGGCTAAATGTATAGCCGAAAGCGTTCGGATTAAAAGAACATTCAGACAGTTTTTATATAATTTATCATCTGAAAAGGAAAAAAATCATTACAACACATGGGAAATTGTATAAAAAACTAAATCAAAGCACCTTGTCTGTCGTATTCAATGAAATGTGCATGAAAGAAGGATTGCTGCCAAAATTTACACAAATACACATACACACACATTTTATACATACACATAAACACACATATATATATATATATATATATATATATATATATATATATATATGTATATAATATAAATTTAAGAACAGTAAGATATATAATTTTTTAATTCTTAAAGATATTTTTATTTTACAAAAAAAATTATTTGTAATTTTTTTTATATTCAAACATTAATATTATAAATTAATTGATTTATAAAATTTTTTCTTTTCTACTATTTTTTGTTTTAATTTAATATTTATTTAATAAATTTAAAAAATTTCCCGAAGAATATTCTATTTCAATTAAAATATATGTTCAGGTATTGAATTATTGTCATGGAATGATATGATGATTGGTATATTTATATAGAAAAAATGTTTGATCAACATTTGTATTCTGATTACCATGGATTCTGATTTTAATGTCCTTTTTATTCCATTAAATTTTCAAAAAAAAAATTCAAAAAAATTCACTTGAGGAATGAAATTTCTTTTTTTGAATTTTAAAAAAAAATCAAATTAAATTCATTAAAAAATTTATATTTTTTGAAACATGAAAACTCATTTTTCTAAAAAAAAAATATATTTATATATATAATATTATATATATTATATATATATCTTATAAAGTTGACATTTTTCAAACAGCTTATATTCACGTCGAGATCATTGTATGAGCGAAATAAAAAAAAGATCTTCGCTGAAAACGATTTTTTCTATTAATGTGTTCAAAAAACATAACCCGATTCGACAGACATTATATCGATTTCTCCTTAACAGAAACCCAATTCGATTATCTTTGATATAAAAAATCGATAATGTTTCAACTAAAATCTGCTGAATAGGCAAAATTTCAGGTAAAAATAGGCCCGTTTCTTTGTTTACCAACTTTTAGTGAGCGGTGTTTTTCAGTCAAAAACATCTACAATGAGAGGTTTGCATTTCTTAAAATCAAGCGTTTTTTTTAGCTATATAAATCAAGGAACAGAACTAAAAATATATTTATATAAACCTTTATTTTAAGTTATTCAATTCCACGATTTATATCTTTATATACAACCAAAAAATTTATTAAAACTTTAGCAAAAATTATAAAAATAATAATAATAATAATAAAATAATAATAAATATAATTCTTCTAATTATTATTAAAATTAAATTATTATTTTCGTCAAACACGGACGTTACACCCTTTCATAATTTATAAAACATAAATAATGGTTTATTCCGTTTTGATCATAATAAATTATAAAAATATTTATCGGTAACTTTTGTTGTCATAGGATCCAAATAATTTGAATATTGGAGTACCGACCATATAAATATGGTTGGTACCGGGAAGAAACAAGGAATCAAAAAATTCACTCTCAAAACTCTCTGCATTTTGAAGTGAGGGACCCGGACGAGGCTTTGCTTTGAGAGGCAGGGTTTCGTCTGGATGGTTTATAGACAGGCCTTGAACCCGTCTAGGCGGGTTCAGAAAGAAAATATATTTTTATACGAGCCTACGGGCTCGGAGATACTCATTTTAAACCGGCCTTGTGCCACATTTTAATCAACGTGGGTGGATAGATAAATACAGGAATCAAGAGATTCAACCAGAGACTCTGCCCGACTGCGACTCAGTCAACACATTCTCCAGGAACGGTCTTACCAGGAATATACAAAAGACTATATGTAAATATTGTGTACACTTTCTTGTTTCAATACATTTTGTTCTAAGTACATTTTGTGTTGCATTATTATTCCATGCATTAGTCAAGTTTCAACAATAACGCTACTTGGTTTCATTGAAAAAAATGAATTTATTAAGAACGAACGAACGAAATGAAATAAAAATAATGAAAATTCAACAATTGGGATGTAAAGTTTTACCTTAAAAATTATAAACTATTTCGTTTTGATTCATATTTAAAAAATTTTATTTTTTTTTAATTTTTTCAAATATTTGCAAATATTGAAAAAAAAAAAAAAAAAAATTTAAAAGAAAATTTAAAAAGAAAAATTTTAAAAAAAATATTAATTTTTCATATTTAATCATATATAAATAATTCAGATTATAATATAAAAAAATTCCATCGATTATTTTTAAATAGTAAAATAAAAAAATACCACTTTTATATCTATTTTATCATCTATCTATAGCTATCATCTATCTATCTATCAAATCTATCTATCTATCTAATTTAATAAATGTTAATTATTTCTATCTATCTATACCGGTCT